TGACGTGGCAAAGATCTCATTATAATATCACCGCCCCTTAATCTGTAAGTTTCCACCAACGGCGCCGTCATTTGATTTCGCAAGCGACAACGGTGTAGCAGCTCTAATGCCATGGAGAAAGTTTGAGCAAAACATGCTAACTGTTCTGCCTTTGTCTTTGTCCGAACACAGAATACTGTTTAGATCTAAAATAAACATGCGATTTATTTCCCAGCTGTTTACCTTCACAGACAAAACCCACTGTTTTTGTAACTCTTGTGTGTTTTTAACGTAAGCTTGTGTGTGAATGAGAGCTTAGTTTAGTGCTCGCATGCTGCGACAGCCGCTTTCTGTGCGTGTGCTTCAGATGTGTGCGCTCAGAAAACCCTATATCAGAAGTTTAAACTCATATGGTTTCACCCCTACTATGAATGAGCAACGCAAATCAAGGAAGGGATTTATATCACTATTTCAGACACATATTGGTAGCCCGACTGGAAAACACAACAGCGCCGGATTTCACGAGCCCTGCCATGCAATGTGCCGAAAAGCGACAGTATGAAAAGCACTAAAGATTCATGTAAAAACAGAGAACAATCTGTTGTAGCTTGTCAGGACTAAAAACTTAGGACTAAGGACATATAAATTATGTGAGAAATTTAATTTACATTAATTTCTGTTGTTATCTCTATTGTGTAGCCAGATCATTTGTTCGACCATACGCTCACACTCACATGCAGTCGCTCACACACACACTCACATGCACACACTCACACGCTCACACGCACACACTCGCACGCTCACTCACTCACATGCACACACTCGCACGCTCACATGCACACTCGCATGCACCGGCTCACACACATGCCCTCACATGCACACTCACACACTCGCACGCTCACACACTCACATGCACACACTCGCACTCACACACTCGCACGCTCACACACTCACATGCACTCGCTCACACTCACACACTCACATGCACTCGCTCACACTCACACACTCGCACGCTCACACACTCACATGCACTCGCTCACAGTCACACACTCGCACGCTCACACACTCACATGCTCGCACTCGCACACTCACATGCACTCGCACTCACATGCACACGCTCGCACTCACACACTCACATGCACTCACACTCACATGCACTCGCACTCACACACTCACATGCACACGCTCGCACTCGCACTCACACACTCACATGCACACGCTCGCATGCACTCGCACACGCACTCACATGCACACGCTCGCACTCACACACTCACATGCACTCGCTCGCTCACGCACTCGCACAAGCTGCATTTCTACAGTTAAAAACAACAAAACATTACTTCATTTAGGCATGGTTTTTAAAAATGAGACATTTGAGTATTTAGTTTAAATTGTTGTTCTATTTAGTGGTTATGTTTCACAGTGAAAGGTGCAGTAGCAGATCTTGGAAAATGCTAACTTTAGCCTGATAGCACTGAAAGCGAATGTCCCACCCTCTCTGCAATCGTCGTCCAAAGCCACGCCCCCTGAACGCATTTACGCTCACAGACCAGAGACAACATTACTACAATAGGCTACATCACCGGTTCCCAATTACAGCCCATGTTCCGAAGTGAAGTAAACTTCAACGGATTTCCCCCGCGCAGGGAGGAGGGAGCAATGAACACTGTGTAGGGATCATATCGATCGGAACACAGTTCATGCACGTAGCTCACTTCTAACGAGCTGGTGATCTGAATCGGGTGTGTTAACTAAGCGAGGACTGGAATTGGGAACCGCTGGCTACATCACGTGTCATTCACCAGTGAGAAAACTTTAAAAGTACTACAATAGCCGGAAGGAAGATGGGGTTGTTGATGTTTGTCTGCACAGCGTGCGTGAACGCGCTGACGACGTATCTGTCTGCAGGAACCCGGTGCGCGGAGGCATGCTAATACATACGTTGACAGGCAGGTAGGAAAACCAATTAAAACACTCGGACCGAGCGTTTTGATTGGACGAACATTTCTTGGTCCCACGCCTTCCACAGAATATATAAATACAGATAAATACATTTAGACCACTCAACTTAATGATTGCTATCCAGACTGTCAACCAGCATAACAAAACATGTTTCTGAAGACAATCACCTATTGCACCTTTAAGTAATCCAGTGTTTTTAATGTTAGATGTCTTTAAGAAGCTGTGCTGATTGGTCAGTAAAACAGACACAAACACACAGCAGCAGCTCTTCTGGGAGGGGCCAATGCAGATCTTTAATGTGATTGGTCACACGGATTACACTTGGCTTGATTGACAGCTCCCACAGTACTTTTGCAAAACAAACATTCAGTCATTATTTGTTCTGTTTTGATACGTACAAAATAATAATTACAAAATAATCTCACATTATAATAATAATTATATTGAATCTTCAATGTGAAGATCCAATTAAGCTCCCAGAATGTAACACGTCTTCCTCTAATGTCTCTGATGTAACACTCATCTGTCTCTTCACGAGACGCTCCTGAGACCAACGAGAAGAATCCATCAGTCTGAATGAAACGAAGAGAATAAACCTCAGAGATGTCTGTCTCTGTCCTGATTGGCTGGTTCTGTGGTGCTCCACAGTGATTGGTCGATCAGTCTGAGCTGGTAGCAAAAGCAGGGACTGCTGGGAAGCGTCAGTATCGCAGGGAGCCGCCGGGGACCCGCAGCGTCTGGACGCTGGACAGAATCTTCTTCTGGTGTCCCGCTAGAGTCACGCCGATCCGCAGAAGATCCCTGGACAAGCACAACAGTCGATCACTGCAGCTGCTGTAGATATTTTGGATTACATTCTATTTTTATTTTAAGGTTTAATTTTGTTGTGTGTATACATAGTTATTTTAACACAAGTCAAGCTGAGTGAAAATGAGAAATGTTGCCTTGGCAATCAGCTGAAATAAAATACTTTTATTTCAGTTAACGCTAACAAGCCTGCAAATTGAATTAGTTTGATAATTGATGAATTAGTCATTATTCCACTATCAGCACGGTGGCGTGACTCACTCGGTGGAGATGTGTGAGACGAGCTGGATGGAGGTGAATCCGGCCTGCAGGAAGCTGTCCTCGTATCGCTCCATCTTGATGGACCGGAGCCAGTCGGACACTGAGCTGCAGTGAGAGAGAGGCGGCGGGGGACGCAGGTCCAGCAGAGGGTGAGACGGCCTGAGACACACACACACACACACACACACACACACACACACACACGTCAATCACACACGCCACTGCACTCAGGGACAGGAAGTGACATCACCAGCCGTGTGCCGCTACTGTACGTCCACAAATTATACAGATCATACATGTGCTGTTTTCTCAAGAGTATGTCATTTCATATGCTAATGTATTTTTGGAGTAATCTTTAATCAGTTATGTTAATGATGTAGCAATAAAGTGGTTCCTTCATAAATCAATCAATCAAAAACATAAATAAATACACTTTTTAAATGATACAAATACATTTTTTTATTAACTTTCAAAAGTTTTGAGTATTTTTTTTTTTGAAGACATTAATGCTTTTATTCATGAAGGATGCATTAAACTGATCAAAAGTGAGAGTTAAGACATTTATAATGTTACAGTAGATTTCTATTTCAAATAAATGCTGTTCTTTTTAACTTTGTGTTCATCTGTGAATCCTGAAAAATTAAATGTATCACGGTTTCCACAAAAATATTGTGCACTAATAATAAGAAATGTTTCTGGAGCAGCAGATCAGCATATTATACTGATTTCTGAAGATCATGTGACACTGAAGACTGGAGGAATGATGCTGAAAATACAGCTGCGCATCACAGAAATACATTACAGCTTAACAGATATTCACATAGAACACAGCTGTTTCACATTCTAATAATATTTCAGAATTTTTGCTGCATTTCTGATCAAATAAACGCTGCCTTGGTGAGCAGAAGAGACTTTCAGAAACATTAAAATATTTTATTCATTCCAAACTTGTGTGTGTGTTCAGTAGGTGTGCTTGTTTACACTGCTTGAATTTAAAGAGCATGTTTTGTGTGTACGGATGTTTCATAGATGGCTGGAATATTTCAGCAGCTGTCATCTGTTCACATTTAGAATGGAAAGTGCAGGATGCAGCAGTGACGGTGATTATCATCCACTTCAGCCTCCCACCCAAACACTTCCTGTTACACACACACACACACACACACACACTCTCACTCTCTCACACACACTCTCTCACACACACACACACACACTCTCTC